AAAAAATTCATATTACTAGAACACATTGGTATTGAAGGAACTAGATACTGTTCCGAAATATCACTTACACGAACCGTCCTGACCGCGTAGCTCAGTTGGAAGAGCATTGGGCTAGTATTCCAAAGGTCGTAGCTTCGAATCCCACCGTGGCCTGGCATATTTTTCAAGCTCGCCCGGTGTGGATATGCACTCAGAGTAACATCGCAAACAGATATGTAAGATATTTTCTCTATTGCCCCGTAGTTTAGTTTCAAAGCACACTTAATACACAAACGACTGTGGTCATTTACATTTTCTGCGCTTGCTTTTCTACCTCTTGTCGTTATTCAGAGGTCCTGATTGAAACTTTCAATGGCGTTTCTTTCGACATATTTTATATTTGCAAGTTTGATTATTAATATATTTAGTGTTTGCTGATTGGCTAAGATTGCTAATTGGACCCGGACAAAAAAGTGGGCGGTTATCAAATTACACTGCCAAACCCAGCAGGCGGTATTTTAGACCGCCTGCCATGCAGGCTATGCCACTGTATGAAATTAAGTATAAAGTATTATATAATAACTGCAGTGAAACACGCAATTTGATTGGTCAACAGCCGTGCAGGATCAGACAATCCTGCACGGGAAATTCTGAACAGAAATTATTTCATATAATTTTACAAATATACTCGCATTGTAAAGTTTCATTGTACGATACCTTTCGACTTTGAAGTAAGTTTCCAATTAATGAGACGTTGGTTTAGTTGTATGAATAAATTTCTGATCGATACATTGCTATTCAGCAAGTAGCAACGCGTAAGCGTTGAAATTCATCAGACCATGGCATGCAAGTACAACATCTCTCGCTTCAAAGTTCATCAAACGCTTCGCAATCTTCACATATTCAGCTAGAGAATCTTCACTACTACTTTGACTGTCTGTTTAGCGGGTTTTCCATTTCAAATTTCGTATATTTTATCGAAAAAGTCCCTGTATTTTCGCTGTATACTTTCGCGAATTTGCGATCAAATTCTGTTCACATATGTTGTTGTTTTCAATAGCGTGGATTAGCGATTCTCTGATTGGTTAATTCACGAATGTTGTGAGAACTGCACATTTCATCAGTAATTTTAATCAAGTTAAGCGTCGTTTCACTGTAGTAATTTTATAAAACAATTACCAAATGCTCGACTTTCGGAAAGCGTAAAAATACACTCGCCTACGGCTCGTGTATTTTTACGCTTTCCGAAAGTCTCGCAACATCCCTCGTGCACGGATCACGCAATCCTGCACGGAAAACCATTCGGTATTCCTTTATTACGTAGACTGTATGCATAAAGGTTAACAGAAATATTCACCATCAGTCTTCACATTTTAATTCAAGTGAGTTCCACTTTTTATCTTGAGATGAAATAGAAGGAGATGATGATAACGAACTTGAAGAAGATGATCCTCCGTCAGCTGAACTGAGATTTGTACCTGACGACAAATCAGCATGTATGTACTCAAGTTATTTTGTTGTGCGGTCGAAAAGAACAGGCAGCATTTCAAAAACCCAATGGACCTTAGAAGTGCTTACGTCACATAATTTTCAAGCAATGAATTATTGACCCAAACGTATCCCACAATGCAATGTACATTCCAGAAGTCCTCTGTGTTAAAAATTGCATGACGTAAGTACTTCTAATGTCTATTGACTTAAAACAAGGTTTAGAATTTTGTAATAATGCTTCCCTAAAGCTACAGATTAGAAAGAACAAAAAATCAAGCATTTGGCGAAAATATAGAATAGTGCAATAATGGTAATCTGATAGGGGTTACAGTACTAGCTTTCATGCAGCTAAGTGCTAATGCAAGGGAATGATGCTCAAACAGAATTTTGTTGAAGGCTTGCTAAGGCACCTCACCCATGCCTGATCACAGAGCACTGTTTGGTATTTAGTAAGGGAGGAAAACCAGAGTAACTGAAGAATACCCCTCGAAACACAGGAGATACACATTAAATAAGCGCGAATCGTCGTCCATGGTCAGTGCAGTTATTAATTTTCCCTCAACCCACAGTGACGAGATTTACGATAGATCAAGGATATATATTTGTTAGCACCTGGAAATTTACATATAACTTCTCTTCATTAAATATTACATAATATGAAGGTGCAAGCTAACTGTAATAACCTTGTAGGGTTAGACGAGACAGTTAGGATTCTCGGAGGTAGATTTCGAAAAATTTCCACCCTAGGTGAACCCAATGTTAAATGCGTGAAGATTATCATGGGCGATATTTATATTCAGTAATCCACAAGGCGCTAGCATCAACGTGGATAACGACCTCATTGTCACTACAGCGTTGTCAAATGTGAAATATACAAGTACAGTAGGCCATTACAATTCAATTTTCAAAATAGTGGACACTGATAAAAACTTTTCTTTTCCAGTAAATGATATATACGCTGCCATATGTGACTGTCAAGTATTACATCCAGACGAACAGGAACAGTTAGAGGACGAAATGGCAGGTAAAATGTTTGGCACTCAACATGAAGCTAATTGGAAAAGTAAAATACTGCAGTTTAGCAAAAAATACTTGTTCATTAAGACCAATGACGTCATAGTAGGTCATACCGTGTTCAGAACAAAAACGTGGCTCCTTAAAATTGGTGTTTAAAATCTTTACTTCAAACTGCAATTTGAGATTAGACGTCAGGGGCCGGTTGTTCAAAGGTGGATTAGCACTAACCTTAGGTTAAAATTTAACCTCCCTGTTTTAGTTTGTATATATCTGTACGTCTGTTTATTTCAAAACTTCAGAGATGAAAACTCCTGTCAATCCAGACAACATCTCTGAAGAAATATTTTCAAATTTATGGATAAGCTGTCAGGAAGTTTGCTTTGAATTTTAGGTTACCCTGTAGAGGTAATCAATGTTATATAGGGATTAAGAATAAACTACGATTATTACGCTCTTAGATGTTTATGAGCAACCGTCTTGTTTTTAATACTGTGTTTTATGGTCGGTTCCAGTTTGCGTTTTTCTTGTTGCAAAATCAGTGCAGATTATGCCAAGAGGGTAATGGCAATAAAACATTTTAAAAATGTGAGCATGAAAAAATAAGCCGATTGGCCGTTTACTGCTCTATTCTATCTCATCTGGTTCCGAAGTTATACGCAAAAATGTGCAAAATATAAATTGCGGATTCAGCACAACGTGTGATGTCATTAGTTGGGTAAGTATGTTTATTGAATAGTAAACTGAAGCATAGCTCAGTTATTATTGGCTCAAATCAAATGAAATTTTTCATACAGATAGTACATGATGAGACGCATGGGAAAATACTTCTAATTTTGTTGTCAAGGCAACACAGTCATTCCCAGGCCCCTTACACTGATTTTGAATGACTAGTTGCATTTATCTATGTGTATGTCATTTTCGAATTATTATCATGCAAGTAAACTTTTGGCATGCATAGGTATGGTACACATACTTCTGATATTATTTTATTCTTATAAGTACCATGAATAAAGCTGTTTTATAAAATTGGCGCAAGGGGCCTGGGAACGACATTGTTACCTTGGCAACAAAATTAGAAGTGTTTTTCAATGCGCCTCATCATGTACAATCAGTATGCAAAATTTCATTTGATTTGGGCCCATAATAACTGAGCTATGCTTCAGTTTAGTATTCATTAAACATACTTACCCAACTAATGACGTCACATGTTGTAGATAAACTATAAACTTTAATATAACCGGAAATTAACTATTTGACATTGATATTTATAGTAATGACACTAAAGACAATTATAGCGTGATTGACATTTAATATAAAAACAAGAGCGACGAGAATATGGGGATTTGGTGTAAACAATAGCGTAAATATAATAAATTTGATATTTAACAGAGCAGATTAGTCGAAAATATTATACATGGTCCTTCGAGAGTCGGATTAAATGATTGAGAGATGTCTACCGTTGCGAAAAAGAAGAAAATACGCCAAGGTCACCGAGCTTACGCTTCGAAAATATTAGGAAATGTGAAAAGCGTAATACAGAATTATGACTCGTCAAATGAAAGCAGATTGAGACAACTCAAGATTTCCTTAGAAGAGAGATTAAAGAAACTGAAATCTTTAGACGAAGAAATACTTGAAGTTATTGAAGACAGCGAAATTACGAGCGAAATAGAAGAGTCTGGAGAGTTTACCAAGAATATTTATGGAGCTATTGTAGAGATCGACAGCGTTTTGTCGAAGAGCAAATTACACCAACAACTAGAAAACAACGGAGACAATTTAAACGGAGAAGCAGAGAGTTTATCGCAAAGCAATGGATCGAAGAATAAACACGCAAAACTACCGAAACTTGTATTAAATACATTTTACGGAGAACCAACTCAATGGCTGTCGTTTTGGAATTGTTTTGAAAGCGCTGTTAATAAGAACGATGAACTGTCTAAAGTGGACAAATTTAATTATCTCAAGAGTCTCTTGAAAGGTCCAGCAGCGTTGACAATCGCAGGTCTACAACTTTCGGCAGAAAACTACGATACAGCGGTGAAATTATTACAAGAGCGCTTTGGAAATAAACAAGTAATAATTAGCGGTCATATGGACAGTTTGTTAAAAATAACATCATTGAACGTTTCGAATGACGTAAAGAAACTACGACAAATGTACGACAAAGTTGAGACACATGTAAGAGGTCTACAAGCTCTAGAAGTTCCCACTGAATCATACGGTAGTCTTTTGGTGCCTATATTGATGACCAAAATTCCAGAGGACATTCGAATATTGCTAGGGCGACAGATTAAAGAAGACAAAGATTGGAAACTTGATGAGTTACTTCGCCTTCTACAAGAAGAAATTAAGAACCGAGAACGATGTGAGGGAATTAAAGCAATCGAGACACCTTCAGAAAACCGCGAGAGAAAATATCAGCGAAAAGATCCTTCGTCATTAGCAGCGTTGTTGGCAGAAGAAAAAGCAGCGCGAATTGACTGTACCTATTGTAAACAGCCACACCCAACAGTAGAATGCAAAGTTGTCACAAACGTAGAAGCGAGAAAACAGATTTTAATGAAACAAGGACGGTGTTTTAGATGCCTTAAACGAAACCACATCGCCCGAGATTGTCAAACGAAAACAACTTGTCAAAAGTGTTCAAGAAAACATCATGTTAGTTTATGCGAGAGTGAACAACAACAAAAACGAGACAACCTTGGGAAATCGCCAGAAGAAAAGTCCAACCAGTCCAGCACACTTTACGTTAGCTCAAAGAACTCCATTCTACTTCAAACTGCACAAGCTTTCGTTGGATTAAGAGAGTCAAATTCCGGGGTTCGTGTTAGAGTTATATTTGATTCGGGAAGTCAGAAGAGTTTTATTAAAAGAAGTGTGCGAGATCAACTGAAATTACCAA